TTTGTTTGAAGAATTGTGAAGCTGTATGTAACTTTTGCAATGATATTGCAATAATGCAATGTGCTTGGTGCAATAAGTCCATGTGTATACAGCACTTCTTCGCAATCACAAACGAAAACTCTCCACATTATTGCACTGAATATAAAGTGTAAGCATTTAATAATAATAATAATTTTATATTCAGCTCTTTTATATGCTTTACTTTAAAAGTCTCAAAAATAAAAAAAATTTTCAAAAATAAAAAACAACAAAAAAATAAAAAAACAAAAAACAAATAAAAAAAAATTTTTTTAAATAAAAAAAAGGGAATAGTTTCTCGCCACCTCCACGTTGGTTATTCCCGGGTTTAGCAGAGAGCGAGAATGTCTTGCTGTCTTCTTTTTAAAAAAATCAGATCCGCCATATTGGTTACACCATATTGAATTCTCAAAAATTGGGAGCAGATTTAGATTCAGCAACTTTGAAATTCACCGTATACCCCATTCTGTAACAAACGTACGAGTACTTCGTGAAGTACTGGAATTCACCCCTATATATTCATAAGGGCGTTTTCTACCCTTAAAACGGCTTTTGGGCAGATATAAAAAAATACGTGTCAGATATTTTTCAATGTACTACACGTATGCACAGTCTCAGGAAAATCGGCGTATGACATTTGGGTAGCGTTACTTGTAAGACCAAGGTCGCACCGGTCAAGCGTGTATCGCTTCCCCGCCTGGAGCTTTGCGGGGCCACCCTCTTGGCTAAACTGGCCGAACACGTCCGGTCCTCCTTGGGCCTAGAAGGATCGGCGGTGCATCTTTGGACGGACTCCACAGTCACGCTCGGCTGGATCCGAGGACACCCTGCAAGATGGACAACATTTGTAGCCAACCGAGTCGCCGAAATCCACTGTGAGAATCAAGACGCAAAATGGCGGCACGTACCCGATAGAGACAATCCAGCTGACTGCGCCTCCCGGGGGGTGTCGCCGAGGGAGCTGCTACGCCATCCGTTGTGGTGGCATGGGCCGACCTACCTCAGCGGTCATTCTGACACCTGGCCGAAGGATGTAGGATCCCAGGAAAAGACCAGCCTGCCAGAACAGCGACCGCAAAATTGCCACGTGGTCAGGGAAGTGCTGGAATCTGAAGAGCTTCGCCGATTCTCCAGCCTTCGCCGGTTACTACGTGTATCCTCCTGGATTTGGCGTTGGGCAACTCGCCAGCGCCGCCCCGTCAGCGACAAGGTCGCTCCTGACCTACTGGGGCCGGAAGAGATGGACGCCGCCCTGACTCGATGGATCCGGGTAGTCCAGGAGGCGAACTTCCACCTAGAGCTGCGAGATCTTCGTACCGGGAAATCGCTGGCGACCAGAAGCCCACTCAGGAAGTTGGCTCCCTTGCTCGACGACGAGGGCGTCCTGCGGGTTGGCGGGCGGCTGAAACACGCTGTCCTGGATGCCGACCAGCGACATCCAGTCATTCTACCACCGGGATCACATCTCACTTACCTGGTGATCGATGCCGCTCACAGACGCACCCTGCATGGAGGAGTCCAGTCCACCGTGGGGAACATCAAGGAGCGTTTTTGGATCCCACGCGCCCGTCAACTGGTACGAAGCCACTTACATCGCTGCCTCCCTTGCGTGCGATGGCGAGCGGCCACTCCGCAACCGAAGATGGGGGATCTGCCGAGGACGCAGGTCACACCAAGTCGACCCTTCCTTCACACCGGCGTGGACCTCGCTGACCCGGTCTGGCTTAGGACGACGAAGGGCCGCGGTCACAAAGCCCACAAGGACTTTCTGGTAATCTTCGTATGTTTCAGCACCCGCGCCGTCCATTTGGAGGTGACCAGCGACTACTCCGCTGAAGCCTTCCTCGCTGCCTTTTGCCGGTTCGTGTCGCGTCGAGGGAGATGCACGGCCCTGTATAGCGACTGCGGCACCAACTTTGTGGGTGCGGATCAGCAACTTAGAGAGCTCTTCAGGGCGGCGAGCGGCGAAGTCCACGCCCTCGTTGGCCGCCTAGCAGATGAGGGAGTTCGGTGGGTCTTCAATCCACCGTCGGCTCCCCATTTCGACGGCCTGTGGAAGGCGGCTGTCAAGGCCGTCAAACATCACCTGCGGCGCACCATCGGAGAGGCTAAGCTCACCTTCGAGGAGCTGTCCACGCTCCTCGCGAAGGTCGAAGCCTGCCTGAACTCAAGGCCCCTCGGGGCCTTGTCGAATGATCGGGGCACTTCTTGGTGGGAGGGCCTCTCCTCAGCATCCCGGAGCCGTCCCTCTTGGACGCCCCTACTAACCGTCTGAGCCGGTGGCGACTTCTGCAGCAGATGCGGGACCATCTCTGGCAGCGATGGACCTGCGAATACCTGTAGGGACTCACACCATGGCCCAAGTGGTGGACCTCCCGGGGAAACCTCTGCAAAGGCCAGCTGTGCCTCATCAAAGGGGAGAGCACCCCGCCGTGCCGGTGGCCGCTCGCCCGAGTTACGCGCTTACACCCGGGCGAGGATGGCCAAGTGCGCGTGGTGGACGTTCGCACCACCGTCGGCGAACTGACCCGGCTAGTGGTCAAGCTAGTACCACTGCCGACGGCAGCCGCCGTGGAGTCCGGGACCCCCGCGTAACCGCGTGTCTCGTACAACCTCGCGCTCGGAGAATACCTGTAAATTATTGTAAAATTAGTTATAAAATTAGTCGTTCGGCTCACTATTATCAATTGTACTGCGTTAACTCTTCTCATACTCACCTGTCTCGCATATTTAGTCGTCTGTCGCAGCTCCACGTGCTCAGCACGTGGCACATGGGGCTCCTAACCTCGCCTGTCAAAACTCGCGTTCGCGCTCGACCCCCGGGTCCGCGGCCGCGACGATAAACCAGTCGATACACTATCCCTAGCAACCCTAGGATCGTTCGTCGCGTGTACCCGACGAAGGCGGGCGGGATGTTGTGGATTGTAGAGAGAGAGAGAGAGAGAGAGAGAAAGAGAGAGAGAGAGAGAGAGAGAGAGTGTGTGTTTTTTTTTTTTTTTTTTTTTTTTAAGAGGTTAAAAAATACATTTGCGTACAGAGTGTCGGACTCAATCTTAACGACAATACCGACTAAAAATAGCCCTCTTTCACCAGTTTCTTTGGTCCCCGCGGCATGGCCGCCAGGCATAACTTCGCGGGGGGGATGATTTAGCCGCAGCTTTCTCTCTTAAAGTGGCTGTTTAGGCCAGCTTCTTCCGCTCGCGCTCTATTTTCCGCAGCTCCTTTAACACGGTCGTAGCGTAAGTACTTGTAAGCTTCCAGGCTGGAGACGAGATTAACATTGTGGGTATCATACTTTCAGGAGAGATTTTGCATCCTATTCCATCTTCCCATGACTTCCTGGCTTCCATGAAACGAGGACACACGAAAAAGACGTGCTCTGCATCTTCAATTGTCCCTACACAGTTGGGACATTCAGGGGAATCTTCGTGTTTGAACCTATGAAGGTACGCCCGGTAACAGCCATGGCCGGATATCATCTGGGTCAGGTAGTAGTTTAACTCTCCATGGTTCCGGTTTACCCATGGCTCTAGGTCTGGTATTAGCCTGTGGGTCCATCTTCCCTTCGTCGACGTATCCCAGAGCAATTGCCACTGTTGCAAGCTCTTCAGTCTTCCCTGGGTTCGAAGCTCCACCATAGTCAGGTGCGAGCTGCATTTTTTGTTTTGACGCAGACTCTTCCTTTCCTCTGCAAGAATCGTAACGGGAACCATACCCGCTATCACGCATGCCGCATCTTCCGAAACTGTACGAAAGGCGCTGGCTACTCGGAGTGTGCTGACTCTATAGACTGAGGCGAGCTTCCGTCTGGACTCTTGTTTGCTCAGCACCTCAGACCATATGGGTGCACCGTACATGAGCACAGATGCTGTCACCGACGCTAGTAGCTTTCTTCTATTTTGTTTGGGACCTCCGACATTAGGCATGAGTCTGCATAGTTTGGCTGTCACTAGGGACGCTTTCGTTGCAGCTGTCTCCACATGCTCTTTGAAGTTAAGCCTATGGTCGATTATTACTCCTAAGTATCGAATAGCTGTTTGAGTTGCAATTTCAGAGTTCCCGACATTGAGCGTAATGGTCTCTGCGACTCTCCTGCCAGTAATTAAAACCGCCTCCGTCTTCTGCTCAGCGAGTTCTAGCCCGACCGACTTCATCCACTGAGTAATTATTTGGAACGTTCTTTCAAATGTCCATGTCACTTCCTCCAGGTATTTCGCTACTATCACAACCGCTAGATCATCAGCAAATGCAACGAGTTTAGTTTCACTGGGTAGATTTTGCTTCAGAAGTCCATCGTACATGACGTTCCATAAAAGTGGCCCTAGTACTGACCCTTGCGGGACGCCACCAGTAACCTTATACTCCTCTCGCCCGGTTTGCGTGGTGTATGTCAGAACCCTGTCAGAGAAGTAACTAGCGACTATTTTTCGTAGGTATAAAGGTACTTTCAGTGAATTAAGAGCTTCTATGATAATTTCCCATTTCGCTGAGTTGAAGGCGTTTTTAATGTCTAACGTGGCAACCAAGCAATATTTTATGGAGCCCCCCTTCCATCTTTTCCCAGACACTGCTTGTTTTGCCGTGCTGACTACTTGCTCTATGGCATCTAGCGTAGACCGGCCTTTTCTGAAGCCAAACTGTGAGTCGACTAGTTGGGGTTCGACCGCTTCTTCGATCCTGTTGTGGATAATGCGTTCCAGGATCTTCCCCGCAGTATCCAGCATACAGAGTGGTCGGTATGATGATGGCTCGTCTAGTGGCTTCTTTCCTTTAGGGAGGAGTACTAGCCTCTGTCGTTTCCACAAAGTGGGGAAGGTGCGTTCCAGTAAGCAGGCATTGTAGGTCTCCAAGAAAACTCCTGGTGTTGCCGTAACAGCTTGTTTGAGGGCTACGTTGGGAATCCCATCTGGTCCTGGAGCTTTGTTATTTCTAAACCTACCGCACGCTAGCATTAGTTCCTTCTCCGTTATAGGTGGGATCTCTTATGATTCCTCAACCCCAAGTTGGAAGGAGGATTTTGGTTGCGTCGGGAATAAGACACTTACAATTTTTCGCAGTAGAATAGGACAGGTGGGCGTTGATTTTTCTTGTCTCAGTTGCTTAACGACAATCTGGTATGGCCTGCCCCATGGGTCCTTCTCAACCTCTTCCAATAGCATGGTCCATGTGTTTCTCTTGCTCTCTTTAATGGCTTTATTTAATTTTAACCGTGCTTCTTTATACTGGTTGTAAAGCTGCTCAAATAGTGGCGTTTTCCGAGCCCGTTGAGCCGTTCTGCGAGCCTTTACACATTTTATCCTCAGCTCAGAGATGTTTTCATTCCACCAGTACACCGGTAGAAATCGCTTGTTACTGTGTCGCCGTGGCATTGTTGCATCGCAGGCCTTAGTCAGTCTCAATGTGATTTCAGTTGCCTTTTCACTTGCGCTTTTGCCCAGCAACGGTCGATCTTCAAGTGCTATCTTGAACAGGCCGGGATCATACGTGCTAGTTCTCCAGCCCACTGGATTAGCTCTTGTACATGGTACTTGTACTCTATTTGCATACAATTTATTAGGTGATACCTCCCAGTATATGGCACAGTGGTCGCTAGCGGTGTAAATATCGGAGACCCCCCAACTGTTACTTCCTCTTGCCAGTGTACTGCTAACAAAAGTCAGATCAACAATTGAACTCGCCTCGTCTTTTATGAACGTGGGCTTATCGCCTGTATTGAGTAAGACGACGTCCAGTAGCGACATCGCCTCCAAAAGCAGGCAGCCTCTCGTATTGGTCGCTTTACTACCCCAGTCTACAGCCCATGCGTTAAAATCTCCAGCAATGGCTACAGGAGAGTACATTCGGGCATCTTCCACTAATTGGTCCAGGAACTCAGCAAACTCTTCCTGTGTTAGGCTAGGTGGTGCATAACAACTGTAAAATTGTATGCCCTCGAATTTGGCTCTTATAAATCCGGAGCCCTTTCTTTGGCTACCCTGGAGAGGTGTCGTGCCACATGCCCAGATGGTAGCTTTTTCATGCACATCGGTGATCCAGTTTAGGCTACTGAGCTGCTTATAGGGTTCTGAGATTAGAACTATATCTAACTTTAGCTCTCGTGCAGTTTGCATAAGTAGGTCTTGGGCAATCTCACAGTGATTGAGATTGATTTGCAGCGCTCTAATCATTTTTGGGGCCGCCTTACCACCTGGAGGGCTTTTTTAAATACAGGGCAATTACCACATCCTGCAATGTGAGCACAGTCTTCAGTATTTCCATTAGCCACACAGAGAACACATCGGGCTTCCTTACTGCATTCTTTGGCTTTGTGGCCAATTTCTCCACATTTGGCGCAAGTCTTCGATCTGTCTTCTTTGTTGCTGCATTTGCTTGCAACATGACCAAAGTGCCAGCACCTGAAGCATTTTATAGGTCTTTGAGTAGCTCTTATTCTACAGTTGACCCAACCTATTTTAATGTTTCGCCGTTCTGATAAGGTTCTGGCCAATCCTGCTTCCATTTTAATTGACGCCGTAAGTGTCCCTCCGTATGCTTTGCGGAGGGACTTGATGCAGTCTTCAGAGATATGGTGTCCTTCACTAGCTATGTTCTGTAGTGCTTCTAGGATTTCAGGCACCGTTGTGGTTTCATCAAGGTCCTTGATCTCTAGATCCTGTTCGGGTACCTTACAGACCACCGTAGCGTCCTCTCCAAGGACTGAAGAAATAGTATTTCTCATCTCCTGCGAGTCACCTGTTTGGTTTCTCGCTAGGATAAGAAGCATATCCCCCGTATTGGTTCTTCTAATTTTATCCACACATTGGCTTATACGATCTGCGGAAGCATCTTTCTTAACCCTCTTGAGGATCTCCGCATACTGTTCCTTCTGGGTTGGACGAATGATTAGAACAGTAGGACGTGTTGCTGCTTTCTTTTTCGGTTGCTTTTTCTTTTTAACTTCTTTCCACTCAGTGCGGCCTTGCGGAAGTGTCGTCTTTGGCTTCGGTTCAGGCTCTGGCATAACGGCAGAGTCCGTTACATTAGTCTTCAACTTTTTCGGCTCCTGGCTTATCTCCGGAGGTGAAAAGCGTTCTTTTCTTTTAACTTTCCGAATTCTTCGGATCTTCGGTGTTGCCGATTTGCCGTCTTCTTCGATTTCTGAGTCCTTTATCGTCGTCTCCGAATAACATCTGCACAGTGACAGTGAGGTTTGTACTACGCCTACCGATGTGGTGCCGTTTGATTTTCCGACGTTATCGACTTCTCCGATGATCTTTTTGAACGAGCTGCTCAGCGTCGTTACATACTTGCGGATCTCTCCATGTACGTTCATCTTGCCCTTTATGAACTCCGCCAGGGCAGTGATCGTGTTTTCGTGGCGCTCCAGAGCCTTATTTAACTCCTTCATGCTTTCATTTGTTTTATTTTCTTTATTTATACTATCCATACTGTTCCCACGAGAACCTAGGGAAATACACAGTCCGCTCCGGCAGAGCCCCGGTTGCCGTAGTAAGGCCACTAATTACGCCTGAGGTGGGACCTGGTCCCTCAGGGGAGCGCTAGCGACGACAATACCCTGTTGCCTTCCAGTCCTGGGCACGCTAGACCACTGACATCGGGTTGTGGTTGGTCCGCGGGAGCTATTTTATTTCACTCCTACCCTATTCGCAATGCGATTCTTGGGCATTCCCCTATCCGCCACCTGGGGGACGCGCCACGTAGCAGTACACCTCTGCCCGTGGAGAGAGAGAGAGAGAGAGAGAGTGTGTGTGTGTGTGTGTGTGTGTGTGTGTGTGTGTGTGTGTGTGTGTGAATGCATCTCGGAGTGTATTCTTCGCCTTGCGACAAGCGCAGCTAACTGCGCTGAAATAGCCGCTCGAATTTGGCGCGATGATTCGCGCTAAATCTCCGTGCGCCAATCGCGAGCGAACGCGCCCCGCCATATCGCAAGACAGCGCGCGTCTTTAACGCTCGCAATATCTGTCGTTTGAACGGTGACAGGTAACCGTCTCGTAATAAACATAAACCGACGACAACAAGTGATTTTGTCCTCCGACATTTGAGAGGATTCTATCATTATGTGGAAGGAACACAAACACGGTGTTTCTTACCGCGGAACTCTCTCGAAGGTCGGTAGAAAACAATCACGTTGGTTCTCGCGCTCTCTTGTCGAACGGATCAATCGTCGTACAGTCGTTCGCGCGTACAGACAGCGTTACTTTCTCTCTTCTCGATTTTTGTCGCACTTCTCGCGGGAGATCGATTTGTCGCTGGATTGCACTTCCGGCAATTATTGCACGCTTCTAATTGCAGTTCACTTGCATTAAAGCATTTCTTTTGTACTTTATAATTATTTGTAAATATATTGTGTGCCGTGAACTTTCTTTATTTTCTTATTTTTTTTCTGTGCCGCCCTAAGCTTGACACTCGCGTCCGCGCACTAACTCTAATCACTCCGCGTAGCACCAAATATTGCACAAAGAAAAAAAAATAAAAACAGACAAAACACCAAAAAAAATATTTGCTAAGAGGTTTCGGTAACTAGACTTAAAAAAAAATAAAACCAAAAAAAAATGATAATAAATCGCGGTATTAAACAGGAAAAATAATAACTTTCAGTCACGAAGTGCAGATTATAAAAGAAAAGAAGAGGAAAAAAAATAATAACTTCAACAATATAAAAAGACAATGATAACAGAGAAAGAAAATAATAATAATGACTCTAACAGCATTCGATAAGAAAGACGGAAGGAAGAAGAAAAAAAAATTATACTAACAATAAGTATGTTTATCTCTCAACGGTTGACTCAAGGTATCCAAAAAAAGAAAACGAGAAAATAAAAACTCTACTGTTGTTCCGAAAAAGTAACACGAAAGAACGAGAGAGCAAAAAAAATGATAATATCTCATACAAAACAAACGACTAAATTCGGTATCCGTGTATAGGTCGAAACGGTATCAAGAGGCCAGGGTACTCGCCCTAAGGCTGAGTAGCGGTATCCGCGCACAACAAACCAAACAAGCTGAGAAAAAAAATATATATATATCGGAAATCGAAAATATCAACTTATCCGACCTCTTTAGAAGTCGGAACAAAAGCCAATACGGAAAGCAAGAAGGCAAAAAACAAAGGTATCCTTAACAATAATATTCCTATCTGTCCCTTGGCTTGTTATTGCTAACGATAATCGCAAGCACGGCGGCGAACAACCGAAAATTTTCGGACGGTCACAAAAATAAACAAGATCACCGGGCAAAAAAAAACAAGATAAACGAAGCAAGTTCAAATATTCAACAAGCGAAAGCACTGGAACGGTATTCGGTACTTAGAATATACGGTAACAAAAAAAAATTCACAAAATATTCGGTATCAGGCTTAAAACGATAGGTCGAAAAAAGAGAAGAAAGAAAAAAAACTTATCGGCACTTTCGCCTCAATAAAGATTTTAATAAAACGGTACTTAGCGCACTCAATTACAGCGCCGCGGTATCGCAATCGGCCTATTCCCTATGGCTCACAAGTTTCAGAAGCGAGGACAGCTGGCAAAATCACTTACCCATAAGAAATTCCCCAATCCTCAAATTTTCCCTTTACGGCTATCACGGTGACGACACTAAAAAATTTTCCCACTAACTAACAAACAATAACTAAAAGAACGAAACGAGAACGAAAAGACGGAAAAAAACTGTTAAAAAAAACACATGAAATATCAATTCACATACAGAGAGAAAAAAAAATATAAATTTCGGTAAACAAGTTAAAGAGAAAAAAAAGGAAAAGGAAAAAATGTTCAGATATAATACTCTCTCTCTCTATTGGCGTGGCCCCACGTTGGGCGCCAAAAATTTGCAACGTCTTTTCCTGCTCCGAAACGCCAAGTTCGGACAGGGAAGCGTTCAATTTGAAGATTCCCCAAGTTTAACTGATGAAACGGTAAAAATCGGTATCAGAAGAGTTAATTACTCGCACTTAGGGGCGTTCATTAACTCACGGTAAAGTTGGGCGTTAGGCGCATGTGAATGCGCCACGGGACTAATGTGAACGGTATTTAAGTTAACTTCCCCAGATGTTATACAGAGTCGCGGGTCTATAGGATTGTTGGGTCTATGGTTGAGAGAGAGGTATAGAGAGACATACACGTGGTGTTATAATTTGACAGATATATATATATTTGACACTTAGAATTTACAATTTGACATCTGATAAATACAATTGGATAATATAATTATGTAACAAACAGTAATATATAAACTAGCGGTAGGGGAACAAAAATATAATATCAAGATCTGCGAATATCGGTATTTCGGAATTGATCTACAAAATTCTTATTATACAATGTGAAACATCTTAGAGAATGTCGCGACAATAATATACAAACGGGATAAACAAAGACAAAATCGGTAAACGTTATGATGGTCCAACTTATTTTCGCGGGCACGCGGTATAGACAGAGGTCACAATAAGATACTCCGAGACACGGCGCGGTATGAAAAAAAGATAACAACTAGATGACGGTAATTTCGTGACTCTCTCGCACGACTCTCTCGCCGAGTCGAAAACAATAAAATATTTAACAAACTCGCGGAGAACGGCTACATGCAAATTCCGAAAATCTAATAATCGAGCCTATAGGAAACGTGACTCTGAATATCTCGGTAACCCGAATTTATAATAATTACTTTCGAGACGATGGACTGTTGGCGGCACTTTTCGGAGAAGGCTCGGCTCGCGAAACGCAAAGTCGGCTGGCCCCGCGATACGATACTCCAAAAAAAGACAAGAGAGAGACCGCTCTCTCACACACAAAACGATACGAAAAATGAGAGAGAGCGGTACTCACGGTAATTATTGGGTTGTTCAAAAAGTCATTGCGTTTTTTTCCAATAGATAGCGTTGTCCACATTTATTTGTATCTGAGCGTGCCATGAATGTCAAATGTTTATGCACATTTTGTTGTTGACACTTAACCTAAAAACCAAAAAAAAAGTTGACGCAATTTAGTCGAGTTTTGTGCTTGCAATTGTAGTTTAAACATGGAGAATTTTGAAGAGCATATTCGCCATATTTTGCTTTATTACTTTAAAAAAGGGAAGAAAGCAACTGAAGCAAGGGAAGAGTTGCGTCAAGTTTACGGCAGAAATGTCATTGAAAAACGTCAGTGCCAGAACTGGTTCGCCCGATTCCGTG